AGTTCCTCTACGTGGCCAAGAGTCTGGTCTGCGCGGCGCGCTGCTCCCCCGGGGTGGACGTGCTGTGGGCCCGGCGGGACAAGGACTTCGCCTTCGTCTGGATGGCCGCCTGGGCCACCCTCTGCTTCGTCTCCACCGCCTTCACCGGGCTGACCTTCCTGCTGGAGCCGCAGCGCTTCCGCTACCCGGAGCGGCCCATCATCTTCCTCTCCATGTGCTACAACGTCTACTCGGTGGCCTTCCTCATCCGGGCGGGGGCCGGCGCCGAGAGCATCGCCTGCGACCGCAGCCCGGAGCCCCCGGGGGAGCCCTACCTCATCCCCGCGGGGCTGGAGAGCGCCGGCTGCACCCTGGTCTTCCTGCTGCTCTACTACTTCGGCATGGCCAGCTCGCTCTGGTGGGTGGTGCTCACCCTCACCTGGTTCCTGGCGGCGGGGAAGAAGTGGGGCCACGAGGCCATCGAGGCCCACAGCAGCTACTTCCACCTGGCCGCTTGGGGCTTGCCGGCCCTCAAGACCATCCTCATCCTCACCTTGCGCAAGGTGGCTGGCGATGAGCTGACCGGCCTCTGCTACGTGGGCGGGCTGGACGCCGGGGCGCTGACCGGCTTCGTGCTGGTCCCGCTCGCCTGCTACCTGGTCCTGGGCACCTCCTTCATCCTGACCGGCTTCGTGGCCCTTTTCCACATCCGCAAGGTCATGAAGACGGGCGGTACCAACACCGAGAAGCTGGAGAAGCTGATGGTCAAGATCGGGGTCTTCTCCATCCTCTACACCGTCCCGGCCACCTGCGTCATCGTCTGCTACTTCTACGAGCGCCTCAACCTGGACTACTGGCGGCTCCAGGCCCTGGAGCGCGGCTGCTCGCCTCTGCCCGGCCGGCGGGGTCTGGACTGCACCCTGGAGGCCTCGGTGCCCACCGTGGCCGTCTTCATGCTGAAGATCTTCATGTCCCTGGCGGTGGGCATCACCAGCGGGGTGTGGGTCTGGAGTTCCAAGACTCTCCAGTCGTGGCAGGCCCTCTGCAACCGGAAGCTGGGACTCATGAGGACGCGGGGGAAACCCTGCAGTGGGGTGAACTGTCCAGGGCCCCATTGCCACTACAAAGCCCCTGCCGTCATGCTCCACATGACCAAGACAGATCCTTACCTGGACAACCCCACCCACGTCTGAGTGGCCATTTC